TTGTCTTATTACCCTTCTTCTAGAGAACCTGTTGCTGCATAATACTGTACAAATCCCTCTGTTAAACAATTAAAATTCCTCCGAGTCTGGTCTGTCCAGAGGGTTAGGGTAGCATGGTGGGGGTAGGGTTAACTTTCCCTGGACAATCAGGCATCAGGGCAGGCTGCATGGGGGAGGTGATGTTTAAACAGCACTTTAAGAATGAGTTTGGAGGTTGACAGAGAAAGGAAGTTCAGGCTGAGGGAACTTTTTCTTTCTCATCTCTTGGCTCTGACGCGAGCTTTTGTTTGTTTGTTTTTTTAATTTCAAGCAGGCCATTTTTATGATCTGTGCCTTGAATGTCTCATTTGTAAAATGAAAGCTCATGGGGTGTTGAAAGAAAACTTTAAGTGATATAGGGGACAGCACTGTAATTAGTTTTTCAGGACAAACAAATCCCAATCAAGACTTTATTATCAGACCGTGTGGCTATGTAATTAGAGAATTAGATAATAGTACTAATAACTGACAGTGCTATTGCAGTTTACATTTTTCCAAGCACTTGCACATCCATTATCTCCTTAGGTGCTCAAATTTGCAGACACTGAAATTTGGAGAGACAGACTAAAGAAGCGTGGTGGAGAACACATGCTCTGAAGCCAGCCTGCCTTGCCTGCACCCAGGCCCACCACTGCCAACTGTGTGGTCTCAGTTAGTGTGACCTGCAGTTCTGTTGACGTAAACGGGGATGATGGTACCTTCCTCACTGAGATCTTGTTAAGATTCAATGGACTGATAGATGTACACTGCTCAGGACAGTTAGTGCCCAGGAACTTAGTCAGTACCAGGTGAAGGTTAGCGGGGATTACTATCATCATCCTTATCGTCATCATCATCTACGCTTTCGTAAACATGAAGGTGGACTAGAGCCCACGTCTGCTGAGTTCTAGTCCTGGATTTTTTCCCAACACACACTCACCCACTCCACTGGCATGACTGTGACCTAAATAACAATTTAGGAATGCCACATTATGGGCCTCTATTCTTTTCTGTGTTATTGCAAAGTATATAGTTTAATTGTTTCACTGTTTTCTGGGACTGATATTTGGCTAAAGCAGGCAACACTTAGCAATTCCAGATGAAGCCTTTTTATACCTGTGCAAGCAGAATGAGTGCACATGATCATGAAAACTCTAAAATATCTAGTACATTTAAGAAGAAACTAATTATTGTAGTGTATGTGTTATAGGACCAATAAGTGAGTCTGAATTTTTATGCATAAAATTAACATTTCACCCTTTCCATCTGCCAAGGTTGATCTCTGTCCCACCGATGGTGGACAGCAAGCTTCCACTGGCCAATATTTGGAATCTCTAAGGAGAGGTTTGTTGGGGAAGTACCACAGTCTGAGGCGTGAAGATGTCTCCTGCAAACAAATTGACTTCTATTTAGGGAAGAATTTTTCAACCTTAAAATGTTCATATGTATATATGATTTAAATAGTGCTTTGATGTTGAACAACAACAACTCCTGGACTTGGAGATAGAAGACGAGGATCCGAGTCTCATCTTCATTTTACCGAGTGTATGGCACTGGCTGACCTCTTAACCTCTCCACACCTCTGTTTACGTTTCTAAGAATAATGAAAAAGACACAGGGACAATTTTTTTCACAGGCTGCTGTGTAGTCTCCAGTCAATTCATGTATTTGAAAACATATTGAGATATCGGTATTACACTCAAGCTGCTTTGCTCCAAATGTCTTCCTAGGATCAAGGGCAGGTTCCACGTCCCTCAACTCTGTGGTTCCCTTGGAATTTCTCCCCTCTGTCCAGTTGGGAATAATATGTTTTGATCAAATCAAGGACACATACTCTCTTGAGTTTTATCAATTTCTCAGAAAACAGTTTCACCTCCTCTTCCTGGCCCCCAGGGCTGAGTCGTTTTGAGCAGACCCCTGGATTCAGCTTTGAGGACTGTCCCAAAATGAGGAAGGTTCAGAATAGTCAAATAAGTCACTGTGACCCCTTAGGTCAATGTCCTGGAAGCATACATACCAGAGGGTGGCTTCTGCTTTCTGTGACCTAATAGGACATTGTGATCCACTGTTGTTCATAGTTCAAGTTTCTTGGAGCAATTAATTGCATTAAAGGCAACATTTCATTTCCCTAGGTGACATTTTAAGGTCATCTCTTCCTCTGCCTCCCATCACCCCAAGAAATCCTGTCACATCGTCCCCATACCCCAGTGGATACACTTCATGTCCTTAGGACTGCAGCCTAATTCTACCTCTAGCCCAAGCAAGACTTGATGGAAAGTCCAAAGTTTTGGGGAAAAAAAAATAATAATTTAAAGCCCTAAAATTATAAATGCTTTTGAAATCTCTGGAAAATTTGTATCTTCTACCTCAATGCACAGTGATGTTAATAAAGCTGATCAAGAACTAGTTATATGTAAACTTTACTTCCATGATAAATTAATTAAGAATTGTCCTCTGATTTTAGCCTTTTTTATATGCTCGTATATCTGCACTCTCTAAAATTGGAATGAATAAATGCCATTCATTTGAAATTTAGTCAGCAAGGGAAAAATCATTCTAAAATGCATGCAGTGTTTTGGCTCTTGCCCCATTTTGTCCTTGCCAGGTGATGTGTCAGTGTTGTAATATTATGATATATTGCTCATTGTTGCAATTACCTCTGTCAGAGTACATCTAGGTTTCATGCTTGTGATGTGTGAACAAAGAAATGAAATAGAAAATCTTGGTTTGTTTTCATTGAGTAATGATCAAATACACGACTGATTCTATAAAGGATGACCAGATTTGATAATTTCATGATATATATTTCAGAAGCACATAAATCATATTTTTAATTGAAATTCCTTTGTAAGGGGACTTTAAATTGCCGCCTTCAGATTCTGCATGGAGAGTAATTTGTAGGTTTCTAGAGATAATTTTATGACTCTATTCAGAATTTACAAACTTGTTTGACTTGCTAACTGCATATGCAAGAAAGTTCATCAGAGCAAAGTCACACAATCTCTTTAAAAGGCAAATCACCAGGACATGCAACTTGCAACTCTTTTGCTTTATAGATTATGTTAAACTGTTTACATGAAATTAAAGATTTTATCTTATTTCATTTTTGACATTTCCAAAGGTCTGTGCGCTGTTGTATCTGTTTCAATTTTCATTGCCCTGGAGATGCTTTATCATGGGGGAGGGGGCATGGCGAGTACAATCCATTGTGTCTGGGTAGACTGTCCCGAAAGAAATAAGCAAAGGAAGTCTCAGTGGGAAACCGCCAGTCGTCAGGTAGAATGGTGACCACTACCTTAAGGGCCTTTGCTTTTCCACCGTAGCTCACTCTCCTCCGTGGAGCTTCAAGAAGGTAGACACCAAGGGGAAAGCCCTTGGTCACAATTCGTCACTGTCCTCCCAGTACCTACCTCTTTCTCCTCCTCCTTGCGGTTAGTCCCCATCTGCCTCTGCCCCCATCAGGGGTCTCCTTCACTTCCAGAGGCTCTCGCATATCTCACCCTGCCCATGGCCTGGACCTCAGAGACCACCCCTTGGCTCTGTCTTTGTGCCTGGCAGTTTCCACAGCAGCAATGGGGACAGTATATTCCTGGCATCCATAATGGATGGAACTCTGAATGCACTCCCCATAGAGACATCATATTTCTGGTGATTAGCCCTATTACACCATCAGTATGGATTAAATGATTTTTTGCAGGCTATTGCAAACTTCACCATCTGGTATATACGGTTTTCTTGGGACTCTATTTTCTAAATTACAAGAGAAAGGATTACAATTGTACTTTTGTTATGCCCTTCATGATGAAATTGGGGATGGATGGAAACATTTTTATTTCCTTGCTTGACTTTTTTCCGGAAACTGCACAGATTCCAAAATACCAATATTAGTTAATTGGCTTATTATTCAACATCCAATGATGAAAAAGTAGTTTTGCATTGTTTAGTTCTATCAGGGAATTAGAGGGAAGAGGAAGGTCTTAAATGGCAGAGGTTATGTGAAACAATGCTTTTTAAGAAAGGGCACATTTTTATGCAAAGAATGGCCCACGTGATGTCAAATCCATGATCTCATTTGAAATAGAAAGTCATGTTCTATTCTTAAAAAGAAAGAAATAAGGAATTTGAAATTTGCTCACACTTATTAGAAATGATACTATCGTCTAAAACAGCAAAAGAGGGAGATTAAGGATGGGATAATGATTATACCATAGTCTATGTGTATATAGTTACCTTCTTAAAAAGATCCCAACTAAATAGAACATAGGAAAATAAAACACAATTTCTTATACACAATATAATTAAATAATAAGGCCAGGAACTGATTCTCATTTCTCCATCGCTCTTAATATCAGCCACATTTGCAGCACCAATTTTAGCACCGTATCCTCTCTTTGTTCTGCTACCGTGCATTGCTGTGATGGCAAAGATAACTAACCGTCAGAGATCATGTGAGATCAGGGTGAATTCTACATTGTATGAAGAGCTATTAATATTTTAAACACTGTCTACCCTTCAGACATTGAGGTATTACATCACTATTTGTACAGAAGAATTTGCCACTGATTGGAAGCTTTGGAGTGTTTTAGCATCCTGATAATTAATAGAAGATGTAATTATATTACCACAATTACCATGTACCAAAAGGCAGACTTCTAAATTATTTCAAATGTTTCTGGTATTGTCTGATCCAAAAATAACTACTTGATTAACTAATTTGTCTCATAAGAACTGAGTCTATATAGGTCAAGATGAGATCATTTGAAAAAATCTACTCTTTTGAGAACGTTTAAACTGCCAAAAAAAAAAAATCTCATTTAAGAGCTGGAGTCGAATTATATGGTCATTTTAGTTCTCAGAATTCAAAGCATAGATGGCTGGAATCATGAGCGTGTGATAATTCTAGGCTACTCTCAATAAATAATACATGTCATTTCTGCTTCACTGAGGCTGTCACTTACTGCTCTAAATGACTTTCAATGCAGGGCCCAGCCTGCTCTCCCAGAGTGCACTTCAGCTCAATTCCAAACCTGAAGGGTCCTTCCAGTATCCAGCCAGCTACCATAGCAACCAGACCCTGGCCCTGGGTGAAACAGCCCCTTCGCAGCTCCCTGCCCGCAGCACACAAGCCCGCGGTACGGGCCAGAGCTTCAGCCAGGTACGTGTGGGAAGGGGGCCCTCTGCCGTGTTCGTCCATGGGCTCCAAGGGAACAGGCAGGGAGCAGGGCTGTGAGATGGCCATGGTGCTTCCTCCTGCCTTTCTTAGGCACGTCCCACAAATTACGAAAGATGCCTTTGGTGCTGTGAGTGAAGGAGATGAATAATAAAATAGAGTAACACTGAATTATAAACGTTTTCTTTAGGAATATCAGTGATTTTCTCATGCTATATCTATATTGTATATATTTATCTGTGTGAATATGCAAATATGTGTCTAGTTACTATTCCTGAGTCTGTATGTGATATAAATATGACATACGGAAGTTTTGAGTTTGTGCATGCACCTGGAACAAATTTTTTCTCCTGAAAAAATAAGCATGAAATCATTCGTTGGGGTTAATTGTATAAGGGAACACGGTATAAATGCATAATCAAGTATACAGAACTATTCTGAGGATAGTTGTGATTAGTTTAGGAATAGTTATACTTTGTCAAGTTTTATTTTGAAATGTGCTCTTGAATCTTTCTTTAAGGTGTGCACTTGTTCTCATAGTTTCACTGCACAGATTTATTAGCAGCAATTAAAAACATCTCTTGGTAAAAAGAAGTGGCTACTAATCTGAATTTTTTTCAAGAAAGATGTAAATGTTGTAATATTCACCATGATACACTGATCGTGGTGGAATACACTCAATTTTTAATTCTTTGGAAGCAAATCAAGTGGATTACAGCCCTTCTTGTACCCTTGTATCTGGCTGTACTTGTAGGTCCAAGGGGCCACATTCAGAAGTAAGGAATATTTTATACATAAATTAACCTATGAAAGCTATGAATTTAGCTTTTACCAATCTCCTAAGACTTTTAAGACATATAGCTAGTAAAACAATACATTTCTACCTTTTTTTATTTTTATCTTGAACTCATTTAGTATTCATGCTTTGGCTTTTTCTCACAAATATCTAAGACCCCTGTAATTCTAGTTGAAAAGACTGAGTCAATTAAAAAAAAATGAAAAATCAGTATTCCCATAGCTGAGCATTATGAAAAATGGAAATATCAATATAAAATGAAAAATCAGTTAACTTATCACTTACCTGTTAGCATCTTGTAAGCCCAGTTCACACATAGCTATGTAATGACTAGCTGTTAAATCAAAGCTTTCTTACGTATGAAATTAATAGCTACCATTTACTGAGCACCCAGAAGTAATCTGTTTTATATCCATCCTCTTATTTAATCCCCACAACAGGGCTGTATTACCATCCACATTTTAGAGATGAGAAAACTCAAGCTCGTCACATTTAGAGAAGTTGTCATGCACCATTTTAAGGTAGCAACCGTAAGAATGGGAACAGGATCTTGACTGAATTGAAATCTAATCATTCCAAGAGGGAGCATTTCATAGATTTCCTTTTATATATTGACCATTTCAATTAAATGTATCTATAGCTTGAAGCTATGAAGTGGTGTATAAATGTGGACAGGCATTATGGCGGTTTATCTACTTCCATGTTGTTGGAGTTCCACTTGTTGGAGTTAATTCTATCATCTGCTAATTGCCATGGGAGTAAATCAGTGGAAGCTCAAAGTGACGGGATTGCGCCTCACATTAAAAGTCTGCTTTAAAGTTTAATCAGAAAGTGTAACTCAGTGGTAAAGATATTGAAGCTATGTATTAGAGGTCATCCGAGTTATAGTTTGAAGGCATCCACAGATGTGTGTTCATGGTAATAACTTAAGTTGAGGCAGAGGTTACCAGCATACTCATTCACCTGACAAGTAGGTGGATGAAGATGTCTGAATAATCAGACCAGGGTGTTGTTCTAATCCACTCGATTAACAGGATTGAGGCTGTTTGTGAATATCTAATCTTCTTTATTTCAGCTAAGTGGTAAATATCAGTACCATGATTTAATTTTAACTTTAGTGCTGCAGTATGAAAAGCATGTTCCATTGAACACCCTACAGGACCTGTGACTTCAAAATAATGTCAGAGAAATGATGAACAAGTAACTAGTATTTTTACTTTGCATTCAGCATTAAACCCTTGAAAGTAGAGAGGCCACATCCCATTCCTATAACATCTCCTTTGTTCAGATTTTCTTGGGAACCCCACTATTCCACTGGTTTTGCAGAGCCTGTGACATATTCTTTCCAATATTCTGAATGGTGTTAGAACTCATTCCTTCAAGGCTAGATTAATTTTTAGAATATCCTGTAGCCAGAAAGTGTCAAAAAGGCTAGTGAAGTTCAAATTATGGCTAACAGATGCCAGACCAAGGTAATAAGGTCAATAATCAATCACCACAAACACATTTCATCTTTTTGTCAAAAAGGAAATGTGTAATCAAAAAAAGTAAAGCAAAGGATTTTCTGTCTAGCTCGTAAATCATATCAGAATGCAGTCTCAAAAGAGTATCATAAGTGTTCAAAGATTCTAATTTCAATTTTTAAAAAACTCTAGCTTATTCAAGATAGTAAACGTTTGTTGAGTGAGCATCACCAGGCTGTATGTCATGCCCTGGTGATACACGTATAGCCTGTATCGCCCCATCATATCAGTCTGAAAGGAAAACTGTGTGTCACCAAAATTGCCATAAAATATTACTTCTCTGGCATTACCCTGACTAAAATCCTTGAAAGTCGTTCTCTTTAGACTCTAGGCTGAGTTCCTGGGGCTGGGCTGGAGGAGAGAGAATGTAAGATCCTTCCCATCAGACCCCAAGGCCTTTCTGGGAAGTGACATGAGCCGATTTATAGCTACTTTTTTTCCCACCCCCAGCAGTCTGCTCAGCTGCCCTGCAGGCTCCCCACCCCAGCCTCTAAACAGTCTGTGTGGGTTTGGCCTCCATCCCTTTCTTCCTCCTCCAAGTCAACCTTGGCCTTTGTGTGGCTCTTGTGAGGTACCCCAGTCAAACTAGAGCTGCTCTTGCAGTCCATTTGTATATCTCTGTGTCATACTTTAACGCATTCAAGATGTTTATAGAGTGCCTACTATATGCCATGAGCTGGTGCATCTGCTTGGGATGGAGCAGTAAAGAAAACAAACATGATCCCTGCCCTCAAGGAACTATTCTAGAATCAGTGATAGAGACTCAGAAAATCAACACAGTGAATAAATAAATTGCATAGTTTGTTAGAAGGTGATGATTTCTGTGAGGAAGAAATGAATGTAGACTAGGATAAGCAGGATCCCAAGTGCAGGATGGAATGTGGCCTATGGAGCCTTGTGGAGAAGGTGATGGACAAAGACATGAAGGAGAAGAGGGAGGGAGCTGGCTAGGGGACAATAAATGCAGTGGCTCCGGGAAGAGGTGGCTTGGCATGTGGACGGAACAGCATGGAGGCCAAGGTGGCTAGAGAGGGTGCAGGAGTTTCAAGGGGATGGAAGACCAAGTCGATCATAGTGAGGATCTTGTCTTTTACTTGGAGTGAAGTGAGGAGCCAGTAGAGAATTTTGAGCAAGGAACACAGCCTGATGTATGTGTTGAAAGCATCATTTTGTCATTTCACAAATAATACCCTATAGTTAGGTGCAGGTTAGTCTGTTTCTTCCCCTCAGATTGCCTTGCTGCAAGAGTGGATACCATACAAAATTAAGCTCCACATCCAGAGTCACTGGCCCAGGGTTCATCAAATGTTCGTCAGCTCCTCAAACCCCAGCCTTGTTCTTTATAATCATACTGCAAAGGCTGTGCATGGTGAGAGGATAAAGAAGTTGATTCTCCTCCAAGTTTTGCCTGCTTCCACTCACATAAAATTTCCTATGGATTACACGAAATGCTGAATAAACAACTTCTGGCACAGAGAAGTCACTCTAAGAATGTTGGTTTGTCTCCATGTCCAAACATAAAGTAGCCTCAGCAAGCATTTTGTCCCTCAAAGAAATAAAATATACGAGAAACATGAAAGTATACATCTGTCTGAAGTACAGGGATGTAGTACAAAGTAGTGCAGGGCTGTAAAGATTTTAAGCTCACTCTCATGTTCTCCAGCAGAACTGAAGAAAGGATGTGCACATTCATAACCCCAGGGAGATGCCTGCTTGCTGCAGGAAATTAAGAATTGTGTGATAGTTCTATAAAATAAAACTGAACAATAGTGGATGCTCTAGAAAAGCAGTAAGCTTTTTGAGAAGCAAAATTGCCGTTTCTTTTGGATCTGGCCTCTCTATTTAATGTTGCACAGACTTTTATGTCTTAAAAGATCTCATTTATGCTATATCATAATTATAAATACACCATCTGCTCACTTCTGCCGATGTGTTCATTGAGTTTGGAACATTGCTTATTGGTGCATTTTCACATCAGGTAGATGTGAAGGTCAAGGGGATGGAGAACTCTGTGGGTGGTGGCGGGGTGGACACAGAGACCCGCAGGGTGCAAAGGAAGAGCAAATCCCCAATAAACACCTGTTTAATGATCATTGAATGCAAAGGGTTATACAGACAGCTAGTGTGACATCACTCCAGTTTGCTTAATTATTAAAGAAGTGGTTATTAGGTAAAGAGAAAAGTCACTAATAAAATTGGACAACACAAAATTGCAGAGATATGTTTAGTGTAGAAAATATACTTTATGTGGCATTTAGAGGAGAAATCATGTCATTTTGTTTACTTTCCTTGGCATATTTGTGGGAAATTGGCAGTTTATTTGTTTTTAAGATGGTTTTCAGATGACTACCTATTGGAAATCCCTGTTCATTGCTCTGCTTTAAAATCTTCTTCTCTTATCTCTTTCCAGTGTAAATATATTTAATCTGGCTTCAATAACTGAAACATTTCTCATTGCAGGGATGTATGTGTTTTACTATAACATTTCCCCTTCTGAGGAAATATTTTGGTATTCAAGTTACACCAAATAAGCCTCTTGCTGAAATAAAAGTTTTATGTAGTATATTTTTGCCAAGGTTCATGTAGTTTTTTAGAAAGAGTTGCCATCAAGAAATCCCTCCTTACATATTCCTTAAGATAAATTTAAATAAGACACTTAGGTCATT